AATCTAATTTCACTGTGCATGCATGAAAAAGCTACAAATTTCAATTGCATTGCTGATAAAAGACCCACTTATCCCCACCACACACAGTTTGTGAATTTGAGAGCAAGTATTAAATTAGTCAATATAGATCAAAATACACCAGCCACAGAGCAGTCTTAAAAAGCAACTAACATGGCAATTCTAAGTATCTCACTGACCAAAGTTATGATAAAAAAAAAAAAAAAAAAAAATTTAAGAAATCAATCCATGCTATATCATGTTCTTATTGAATGCAAAATAGTGAATAACAGTACATGGACCAAGAGATAAAAGGAGCAAAATTACATTATATAAAAAACACACACACGAGAAGTTGTGGAGTGTCATGTCTGCCCACATGCTGAAGTGGCATGCCATAATTAGCCTCTTGATTACTTATGTAATACTTGTACATAAAATTTACCTTATTTACTGGTAACCTCAGCTGATTTGTACCTAACAGCTGTTGGTCAAAGAAATGTAACATCAAAATGAAACTAGATCAGGGCCAAACAGGCCAATATGTATTGCCTTGTAGTTTTAGAAAGTATCTTGTGCATATTCAATCAATACTTATTTCATGTCATTAAAAGACGCATTGAAAAGAAATCAAAATCTGACCAAATTTTAAGCAACAAAATTTGTCTTAATATATTAAAAAAGTCGGGCTTACTTTCCCAAAATTATGAGGGGAGGTGTGCTTTCAACAGGTAAAGTTTGGTTTAATAAGGAATTTTAAGTTGTCAGGTGATGGAAGAAATTAAGAGAACTGATATATCCTGCAATTCTTTTGAAAAGTTTAAGCCATTACTGCAGAGTTTAAATATCAGTAATTTGACAGAGCCAATTTAGACTAGTGTCAGATTATTCCTCCCTCCAAAATTTTTTTTTTTTAATTATATATATAACCTGGATTATTGTGACTAGACTAAATGCTATAAATCTGCAGAAGTTTACAAAGTTGCCACAATCTGATAGGAATTGTTTATTTCCTCCTTTACAGTCCTTATCTAAGTGCTCAGAAGCGTCAACTGCTAGCAGACTTTGCACTTCCTTTGGCCATCATCATCATCACTGCAGTCAGCAACATTTTCAGAGATATTCCAAGTAAGAGACCAGTTTTATTTGTAAAACAATGGAACTATAGGATTTAAACAATTTGGGGGACTATGAAAAGTGCTGGCTATTACAAAGGTGAATAAAATTTCTTTACTGGAATAAAAGCTTCAAAAAGCCTAGGATCTTAAACAAAAAAAAAAATTCAACATCAATTGTTTTAAAAAGTATAAATTGAAAACTTCAGAAAACATTATGCAACTCATTTTTATGCCTATGACATTTATAAAATGTTTAATATACCTATTTAATTCTACAATTAAAAGCAAATCTCACATGATATGAAGATTACAACAGAAATGAAATAAACAGGGGAGCAAAAGGGAAGAGGAAAACAAAATATTCCAAATTTTAAAAAAAAGGTTAGTACTTCAGTCCTGATCAATGTAAACAAGATTTTTTTTAGATTTCCCAATTATTTCATTAACAATGCAAACATTGAGGGGAGTGGAGTGTAGACTAAATCTCAGTTTTGAGTTAAAGTTTTCAAAAGGCATCCCAAAACAGCAGCTATTAAATATTAAAAAAAAAAAAAAAAAAATTTTTTTTTTTTTTTTTATCTGGTCAAGCCATTACTTGCAAATAGCTAGCATCACAAAAACTCATTTCACCCACATCCATCACAAGAGCCATGTACTTAGTGACATCATAAACCAAACAGATGTCTAGTTGGAATATCTGTGCTTATTAAGCACCTTTGAGGAATAGTTTATGTAAACTTTGTACATTCAAAATTGCACATACCAAGAACATTACCATAGCATCTCCAGAAAACTAAATATTTTTAACAAATCTAAAGTTAAAATATGATTAACACATTGTAATGTGCTGCCAATTAAAAAAATGTAAACCAAGAAATTTTGCAAAATAATTTATGTAAGCCTTGAAAAATCAAATTCTGAGAAATTTCGAGTAAAGGAGGAGATATTAAAAACACTTGATATTTTTAATAAGGACACAAAGTAAGCATTTCCATTATATTCCCAAAATACATTTCTTTTACAGTGAGGCCATTAGATGTAACATCTGCTTTGACTACCAATCCTTTTCGGATAGCCCCCCTCCATCAACTGTCTCCAGGGGCTATTGTTACAGCATTCTTCCTAGGTTTCAGTCTTTCTTTGCTTTTCTTCACTGACCACAACATATCCAGTTCTTGTATCAGTGACCCTTATTACAAGTAGGCAGAATTTTATTTTCACTAACATTTAAATTAGGCACTAAAACTTAATTTTTTTAGGCATCAAGAGAAGCCAACCATTGTTATATACAAGAGATTTATATTAAAATGCTACCAAGATTATACAGCAGCTTTTTCTAAAAGATGCTCCCACTACAAAAAAAAATACAAGATAATTTTAACATTTTGCATTTAGAACTTAATCCAATTATGTAATTCACTTAGAATGTTGTGAAAATTTAGATAGCTGTATAACTAATTTAGCTTACAAGAGCTTCATAATTAAGTGATTCAATTGCATGAACTTAATTCAGTTTAAATTAAGCTATAATGGACTTCAATTTACAAGTCAGTATCAAAATGTTCTTGCAAGACATTCAATACAAAGTTCAAACAAGAATTAGAGTAGAAACTTGTAATAAAAGTTTAAAATAAAGAAATTAACAAAAAGCTGTAATCATAATCACAAGTATCAAAATCTTTACAGACTCAAAAAAGGCCACACCTACCACTGGGATCTGCTTGTAGTGGCCATTATCAACATTCCTCTGTCAATGTTTGGTTGCCCCTGGATGCATACTGCTATGACTGTGTCCCCCTTGCATGTGAAGAGTATGGCTCGCATGGAGGACAGGGTTGAGCAAGGTGATATACATCAGATGTAAGTAGCACACTGCAAAATCACAATTTTAATGGCATGCTCAATTCAAATTCTTAAATTGCATTTTCCACAAAGAAGCAGTTAAAACCAATTGGACATTTTTCTTAAAAGATTTAGAGTTTAGTAATCTAAAAAAAAAAAAAAATAAAAAAAATAAAAAAAAAAAGAATTTGTAGGAAGAAAATCCCCAATTGAAAATCTGCATCATTTGCTAGAGCTGAAATTCAGAGGCCTGATAAAGTTTAATTTTCATGCTCAGCTTTCAATAATTTCAACTTCCAGTAGGAAATTTGATTGAAGGTTTGTACCTTAGAGCAAAAAATTCTAGAATACAAAATGTTGAAAGCCTTAAGTAAAATGCTAATCTGTATACAATCTTTTTCCAATGCAGAATTGTCAATGTGAGAGAGACACGTGTAACCAGTTTAATAAGTCACATCATGTTGGGGCTGTCTTTACTGCTGCTACCATGGCCCCTGCCCATCATACCACGCCCTGTGCTTAATGGATATTTTCTTTACCTGGGTGTTACCTATCTATCCAACAAACAAATAATTGATCGAACTTTACTCCTCATTACTGAACAGGTAAGCACAACTTTTGAGAATTGTTTTCATTCATAATTTTAAAATTTACAATTAACTTACACATTTTGCTTGGATCTTTTTTTTTTTTTGTACAGGGTGCCTATCCACCCAACCACTACATTAGGCGAGTACCCCAGAGAGAGATGCACAAATACACAGTCCTGCAACTGTGTCAGCTGCTGCTCCTCTCCTTTTGTGCTCTTGTGCCTGTTGCATACATTCAGATGTTCTTCCCATTTGGCATTATTTCTCTCATTTTCATCAGGTAACCAAATTCCTGTTATTTCTTTATTAGAAAAACTGAATTATGTTGCAGCTTACTTTCAAATGTTTCTTCCTTGAAAGGATCAATTGCCATATCAAATTAAACCCTAGTTTCTGAGCAACTCAAAAACAATAAATGTTTGAAACTCACTAAATCATCTCTTGAAATAAAATTACAACCTTTTTTTATTCTATGTTACTTCAGGCACCAGTTGGTTCCCAAAGTAATGGAAACGAAGCACTTGGCTGTCCTCGACTAACACCTGCTGGCCAAATCCCAAGTCATTTTATTCAAACTAAAATTCTGAATTTAAAAAAATATTTAAGATTTTTTAATAAAATATTTAAAAAAAAAAAAAGAAAAAAAAAAAAAAAAAAGAAACAGGTGACGTAATTGTTTGTTTTTAATCTGGAGTTTGTACATGACGACAGCTGCAGAGGTCAGTGAGATCCGGCGGCAACAGCAGACGACAAACGCGGTGACAACAAGGCTGAGGAAGAGGACAGAGCTAAGAGGACTGGGCAGAGCAGGACATACACAAGTGGCACATTGAACAATTTCGGGAATGGAGAAAGAGACAAGGAGGTGGGGAGTGGGTCAAGAAAGACGAAGAATTTGAGGCTAGCTGTCCTCGCGCACGCACGCACACACACAAACAAACAGGAAAAAATAAAAAAAAAATAAAAAAAAAAATCACATGCTGCTGCTGCTGCTGCTACCAATGGAAATAGTCGGCAGGAGTCATTAAGGGAAGGATAGGGCAGGGTGGGAAAATTAAATTTTTTTTTTTTTTTTTTTTTTTGGACAGATGCCCTCATAAATTGCTGCTGCCACTGTTGCTGCATGAACAGTCCCTTCCTTCCCAACAACAACAGCAGCAACAACAACAGGGAAGTGATGGAAATCAGAACACACACTTAGACATTACTCTTTAATGATGGAAATTGAAAATAGGTAGTTCTACTATCTCCTCCCTCCACAGATGGGGGATGGAATTACACTTCCAATTTTACTCTAGTAGTGATGGTCATCATCATCACTAAAAAGAGGAGGGCAATTTCCTCTCAAGGAGTAATAAATATTCACAAAATAAGCAGTCCATCTTTCAGGGCACCACTGTGTAAAACAGTCAGAAGAAATAGTAGTAGTAATAGTATCCTTGAAGCTTCAGAGTCACAAGTCATCAGCAGCGGCTGACAAGGTGGAAAAGAAGAGAAAAAAGAGGGGGGACTGTGTGGACTGTTCAGGAGGAAGGAGAAGAGAGCTGCTGCCAGACCCAACTTCATGCAGTACTGATTTCAAGTGAAAAATTTGGTAATGAAACCGCATAGAAAAAGACTTGTTGCTTGCTGGAAATCCTGGCTCAACAGTTTTCTATCAACATTTCTGCTTTGTTTTGTTTCTTGAAGTACAAACGTTCAGTGTTTTCCTGGCAAAATCCAACAAGATTTGGCTCCTGATGACAATCATGCCGCAGTATGGACAAGGCGAGGAAAGTCATTTTCATCATCCATGCACGGAGCAGACTCACGTGGTCCTTTCTTGTCTGCCCGCTGGCTGACTGCACGGGATCCTCCACGGCCGCCGCCGCCACCACCGCCGCCGCCACCACCCTCACGTCCACGTCCTCCAGAACCTTCAATGCCACCTCTACCTTCACCTCCACTGCCTCCACGTCCACGGCGACCGCCTCCACGTCCACGACGGGGAGAATCATTGAACGTAATCTTGATGTTATGAAGGATGTTCTTTGTACGACGTGGTTCATCTTCATAACCCTGAAAACAAAAATGATTTTTTTTAAATCTCGGCAAAAAAAAAAAAAAAAAAAAAAAAAAAAAAAAGTCTAGTAAAAACAATTGACTATTACTGCAAGAAATCAGAAGTAGGCTCAAGTCTGCTAAGATAAAATTACAAAATCAATGTCATTATAGAATTCAAAATGCAAATTTATGCAAAATTAAATATGTATTGCAATTAAAGTTAATGTCAAAACTTAGCCATCTCTAGAATTTAAGTTTCATTTAATGAATAAAAACAGAAAAAGCAAACTTTATATTGAAACCATAAAGAGAAATTAGTTTACCTCATCTTCTTCCTCTTCCTCCTCTTCGTCCTCATTTTCATTCTCACGGTGCTTCTTCAAAATGTAGGTTTTCTTCCATTGACTTTCATCAACACCTTCATTCGGTTTGCGGATATTGAACTCTACTTTGAAGCGATTCTTTTTCTCCATGGCCTTCCACTCATCAAGCGTCATTTGTTTGACAACGGTTTCCTCCTCAGGCACTTCAGGGTTGGCCTCACTAGTTTCCACGGCAACACTCTCACTGTAATATAATTAACCACATTATCATCATCATCATTGAATAAAACATTTCAACAATAAAGGGTTTTAAAGAAAGAGGTTCTTACTTTGGATCTTGGTTTTCAGCATCTTCAACTTGGGTACTCCAGTCGGGATTCTCAGTTTCCTTCATTTGCTCTCTGTAAAAAGAATTAAATTGTCATCATCAAGATGATCCCAGGTAATATTAATATTTAGAGTAGTAGAAAAAATAAAAATAGAGAAATGGGGTGGAGGCGTGCAGACAGGACAAGGAGGTTAGTGGGTAGTAATGTGAGTAATAAGAAGAGCTAGAGAGGGAGGGAGTAAATAAGTGGGGAGGGGGAGCATTTTATGCCAAATGAAGAGTTGCCAGCCATACTTACTCCATGTCATCTTTTACTGTTCCCCAATTGTGGGAGCCACCACCTTCCCTCTTGTCCACTGCCTTCACTCCACTACAAATAGAAATACCCATGGCTGCACATTAGACAGCACATACCAACAGAGTCAAGATTTACACTTCTTAATGCAATTACAGGGATCTTTTCATTCACTTATCCATTGCAAAGACATTCATTTTGATCAGGTTTCACTTCACGATTTAAAATTCTTTTCAATAGGATATTGGCAAACAGTATAATCCATAATATTGTCCACAAGAACAACTTCCTAACAGAAGATAGGTTTTGAAATCATTCATGCAAAAAATTAAACCAACTAATTTTCACACAAATGCTCTATTAGTAGTAATTAAATTACCAATAAAAGAAACCCGTCCAAACTGACAAATTTCCCCCCTTAATATTTATGCAGAATCATCACTAACAACTTGAAAAAAAAATTTACATTTCTCAGCTGAGAGAAATCTTCATTTTCGATGGATCAGTTGAGCTATTTATAAAATTGAAATAATGTTCTGCCCATTTTGAAAACAAGTGCTTATGCAATTTACAGAATTACCTGACAAAAAAGCTGATTAATGAGTGGATCAACCAATGAGTTCCATTGGTATGTCCCTCCACCCCCACCCTCGGGAATATCGAAATTAAAAAAAATTCCAAAATAAAAGCATATCTAAACTGGTGATGCTCACGTTTTATCGCTGCCACTATGTCGTTCAAATTCCCGTTTGCCACCTCGGTCTCCGAAACCTTGACCACCAGGGCCACCACGACCTCGTCCGCCTCGGCCACCTCGACGTGGACCTCTTCCTCTGAAGCCTTCGGAACGGCCAAAATTGCCCTCTTCAGAATTGCGATTGAATCCCAAGCCTTCTGAACGGCCACCAAAACCGCTGCCACCACCACTACCACCACCTTCAGATTTGCCAAAACCACTTTCAGAACGACCAAAGCCTCCAGAACGACCAAAACCCTCGGACCTTTCAAGAGAGAAACGGACAAAAACAATTAAAATAATGTACATGGCAGAAATTAACCAATATTACTGAATTGCTAAAAAATGTAATATATCTTACCGGTATTCTGAAGAGAATTCTTCTCTTCGCCGTGGAGGTCGCCGATCTGTTTCATTTTCGCCGAATTCATTGGAATCTCTGGATTCAGGCTCTCTGACAGACCGAAAGCCTCCTCTCCCTCGTCCTCTCCCCTGACCACGTGGGGCCCCTTCTCTCCGGTTGTTCTCTACGGCTGAAAACGACCAAATGTAAATTATTTAACAAAGTAATGGTTTACTACAAAAACTAGATTAAAGTCTGAAAGATTTGAAAACTAATCAAACTGATTCTAGTCACGTTGCATGCCACCGGGTCAAAATAAAAATAAAATAAAAACAATAAGAATTCAGGCCGTCACTTGTTTAGGCAAATACAATGTGCCAAGATAAGGCTTTAATAAGTAAAAATAGTAAAGTGCGCTTTGTACGATATCATTAAACACTAGAGAAAATACGAAATCGGGAAGATCAACACTGGTAATAAGTTAAGCTGAAAGTCAAGGGATTTAATAACAATAAAATAGATAAGGCTGGTGGATCCTCGGCGTGTAATAATTGTTGGCGGGGTGGTGGAGCAACGTGAGAAAAAGAACTAAAATGGCGACCGCCCGAATGAAGAAAACATGGCGGCGGCGGCGCACATGGACGGCGACGGTCGTCGCTGCCTTTTGGGACAGTTGTCATTCATTCAATAGTTAACAGGACATTTGCTATAAACAAATTATGAAATAAAGTGCTTCAAGTAAAAAACTGTCAGACTAATGCATAGCTTTACATCAAGATGCCCCCCTCCATCATGAATGGACAGGTAGAGAAAGCGAGGGACAAAGACAACAGGTACCCCCCCCTTCATACGAAATCTGATAAGCGTCAAGAAAGGAAGCACATGGAATACACACCACGAGGATAAAAATAAAGTTTATTAAAATTTCTATGAACTTTTACTGGAATAAAATATCTGCAGTTTTAAAATATATTTTTTAAAACTTCAAATTCAGACAAAACTGATTAGTTTTTTTTTTATTTTATTTTTCGACAAAAATAACTTTACATGGTTTAAAAAAAAAAAAAAAAAAAAGTTCATTTTTAAGTAAGTGATTTTTTTTGCACATGCCTAAATATCCATGTGGAGGGAATTCGAACAAAAGTATTACGAATTATAAGAATAAATAAGACAAAGACTTGCTTTAAGTAACAGTAACAATATCGGACAACTGGACGTTTTTATTCAACTTAAACTAGACACACGTGACTCTACACATGAGTAGAAAAAAATAATGTAGTTATTTTAACACACATCTTTGGGTACTTTTACTCACTACCCTGAATTCAATGATCTCTGCACCTGAGTATTATACAAGAAAATGCCACCAAGGTGGAAGAATTCACAGATGCTTTTTTCAATTGTAAATTGCTAAATATTTAATTAAAAACTAGTGCCCCGAGTTGAAAAGAACAAAATAGAAAACACGGCGCGAATAGATTTCTCGTCTTCTGCCACCGCCATGTTGGTCCAGGGCAGGGCTTACTTGACGATGCTAAACCACTATAGCCACAAAACACCGTGTAATTACTAGGATCCGCCAATTCTTCTAAGCCTAGTATAATAAAAAAGATGCCAAATACATGCCGAGAAGAAAGACCGCACAGTGGACAGTGCAAAAGTTACTAAACCAGTGGTTACAGACTTGTTAAATGGCCAGTAGTGACCTTCACCTCACAATCACCAGCCATAGAGACAGACATTCAATGTAGACAGGTTATTTCACCCCTAAACCGCGTGCAATCCGTTTTTAATAATAAATCTAGGATCGAGGGTTATCGTAGAGCAAGTGAGAGTTAGGCATGCAGGAAGAATGATTCATCAGGTAAACAATTGCAAAATGGGACATAAAAATCGAATGACATGAATGAAACAAAAAGCAAGCAGAGATGCAGTAAAAGATGAGACGCACCATGTGGAAACTATCATGGCCGACCAGGGCTGCCTTAACATACGTTCGATTATACTAGTTTTTTTTTTTCATAGTGCAACAATCTATAAATTAAGACGCAAAAAATGCATTTACCATCTCTCCGTTGAGAAGATTGTTCTGGGGTTTTGGACTTGGATTCTTGCTGGCTGGGAGCAACTGACTTCTTGTTAGATTTTATCTTTGCTGTTTTAGTCTTGTCAACTTCTTTTTTAACAGTCTCTTTCTTTTTTACTTTGGCTTCGGCCTGCTGACGAATGATGTCCATCGGATCATCATTTTCGTTAAGGAAAAGCGCATACTTGTTAGAAACAACTATGCCGTATTGGTTCTCCATCGTTCCTCCACACGAAGAGGATGCTAATGGATTCCAAACCTGACGGCTTCCCACTCCTGCTTACCGCTGTACAATATGGCGTGTCAGCCCAGACACTGGCGGTGCATTATGGGATCTCTGACGTCACTATCCATATAAGGTAACGAATATGGCGGGAAGTGCTCAATTACTACTTACTACTTTGACAAATTTAATTGAATTAATACAATATTTTTAATGATTTATTTGAAGGAAAATATTTTATATAAAATAAAGCAATATATAAACTTGATTAAAAAAAAAATGGATGTTGTTATTTTTTTCTTTCTACCCATGATTCCGTAATCGCGGGAAATACTGACGAGTGTGGTTGCTATGAGAAAGCGTCTGCTTGGAAAAGTGTGTTGGACATGTCCGAACATGTTTTTTTTTTCAGTAGGCATTGGACCAAGTGCGGACAGAAATCGCACGATTTTGCACTAAATGGGAAAGTATGCAGTGTCCTGCATCTTGTACTCAACTGGACACTAGTGAAATGCCTCAATTAACAAGAGCAGGATTAATTTTGAACGTCGGACCCTGGAGCGTGGGCTTGTCTCCGAGTGACCATTATGATCAAATACAAAATAACCAGCCACAACAACAGATTTCTTTTAAGTTTAGTTTAGGCTCTTCAGACAAAATCGGCAACAACGTCCAGTCTAAAAAATATGGCCGTGATACTGATGGGGAAGACAGTAATGTCCGGAGGGGACGTCCTCGTGCCGACAGTATCACTTCTCTGATTTTGCAAGGATCTTCGTCTGCTAGTCAAATTCGATGTCAACTTTGTCGAAGAGTGTTTCCCAGAGAGAAATCCTTACAGGCACATCTTAGAACTCATACAGGTTTGTAAAAATACAATTATTTTTTTGCTTCTATACATTTTAATTTTATTCTTTATCACTTTAATCCCCATTCCGTAAAAAGTAAATAACGTTTTTGGTTGTTTTTCTTTGATTAAATTAAACTTTTGCGCAAAACTGACAAGTGGCCCCGACTTTGATTCGCAATAGAAAAAGATATGCCTAACCAGATTATTAAACAAAAAATTCACTAATACTTTTAATTTTAGTATTTATCTTTCAAATAAATGTTCAGTTAAGCTTCGAAGATTTTACAAACACGCAAATGTATTGATCCGATTCAATTAGAGAGTTTAAAATTTAAATGAAAATCAATGTCTACACAAAAAAAAATCCTGGAAAAAATTTCTTAAATCAATCTGCTTGATTTTACATGTAAACAAATGTAGTGTACTCCGTTCTTGGTGGAAGAAAAAAGATTCTAGTTAAAATTAAACATAATGCATTGCTTTAGGTATTTTATGTTTTAATTTTAACTAAAATCAGTTTATTATATTTTTTTTAGATAAAGGAAAAAAGATATCTAAAAAAATATAATAAACTGATTTTACAAGTATACAGAATTACTTTTTACGTAATTTTAAAAATAAATTTTAAAAAATAAATGAAAAATTTTTGATTTTAATTTTAAAATTAATTGATGAAAAATAACTTTTTTTTATATTTAATTTGTAAAAGGTGAAAACAGTTAATAAATTTTTGAAATATTATTTCATGTTCCTTAAATTAATTGATGAAAATAACCTTGGATTTTTTTTTACGCTATTTAATTTGTAAAAGGTGAAAACAGTTAATATTTTTTAAATTTTTGAAATATTATTTCATGTTCCATTAATAAAATAAATTTTGCTTATTAAAAAAAAATAGTACAAACGAATTTGCAATTCTTTTTTTCATTTTTTTTCTCTTAATTTGAGAAGTTTTTAAAAATTTTAAATAAATGAAAATACTTTTTTTCTGCTTTAAATCTTTACTTGGACCATTTTGTTTTGTTTAAAAAATATTCATTTTGTTTAAAATGTTCACTTTCAATGAAAATTTAATTTTCTTATCCATTTTCTTTCATAAATATTTATGAAAATGTTGGTCATAAATCATTTTCTAACTAACTCCATTTCAACTGAAATGGGACATTCGTTAATGAAAAAAGTTGTATAAATAAAGAATTAAGATTCATGGAAATATTTTAAACATCTACAAAAAATGTTTATCTCTTTCTCAAAAAAAGGGTTCATTGAAATATTTTTAAAATGTTTCTATAAAAAATAAAAATGTTTAAGTTTATTGTCTTTTCTTTACCAGTTACACACGTGGATTTTAAAACTTTAAAGTGTAAATTTGACTGATTTTAAATATTTTTTAGGCTCCTTTGAGAAATAAATTAAAAAAGCTATTTGGTGAGCAAATTATAAACGTTTTTTTTCAATAGAAACTTAAATGGAGCGATCACAATAATACATTTTTAATTTATTTTAAAATGTCACTAAAAAAAATTTACAATCCAATCGAATATTTCTATTTGACTGAAGATTTTTTTAAAATGTGTTACAAATTGTGTGAAATTAAGTTTTAATTTCATATTTAATTTGTCTTGTCTCCTTTTTTTTCTTTCTTGACGAAACTATCAACTTTCTTTGCAATAAAGTTGAAAAATTTAACAAACAAAAAAACTGTTCAATATTCATGAACCTTTAAATGATTTTAAACTAAAAATGAACCCTAACTCTGAAAATCATTTTATTTTCCAATATTGTGGTAAAATAACAAAAATTAGTATATTTACAATATTATTATAATTTCAAGTCCACATTATTAGTGTGAGTGAGGGCTTTGTTCTCTAAATTCGTTGGGTTCGAGCCTAACGTAAGTTAGAGATGGCTATGTGGTAAAGTACATTGGATTGGAAATTACACAAAGCGACCTTCTTCGTTTTTCCTACAGTTCAACAAAATAATGTCTTCGGAGAGGAGATTTTCTTTCTTTCTTTCTTTTTTTTCCCCAATAACACAAGAAGATTAAAAACTTTAAATTCGGGCGAGGATTTCCAAAAAAACAACTTTAGACACAGCATGTTTACTTTTATTATTTTTTTTAAATGTCCGAAAATAACCGCCAGTAATAAAAAAGGAAGTTTTTTTCTTTTTACAACAGTCTTCAAATTGCAATTTGTTGGGATGATCAATAAAACTTGATTTGTTGTGACATTTTTTAAGTTAACCCCTAAGTTAGGGGTCCTATCCTAAATAATTTAAAGAAGCAGTTTAAAAAAAAAAAAAAAAAAGTGGGATTGGACTTGTAAGTATCTATCAGTCGAAACTTCTAGTAAGTACGAGTCACTCAGTAGAGTAGTTTTCTTTACTAAAAAAAAGTAGTTTCTTTATGATTTTCTTAATTAAACAACCTACAACTTACCTTAACCAACAAATTACTTGTAGAAGTTGCCTTAAAAAAAGGAACTTCGAAATAATTTTTTCTTAAATTTCTTCGGAGTGATTCTTTTTAAATTTTAATAAAAATTTAATCAAAAAAAAAGATGTAAAATACTTCGAAAGTTTTTTTTTTAACTTTCGAAGTTTTTTACAGTAGGGAAAATTAGTTTTGTTTTGAATGAAAAGTTGAAAACTAATTTTCCCTACCCTGTTTTAAATTAATTTGAACTTAATTTCATTATGATCGTTTGTTCCAGAAAAATACTGTTTTTGTTTGATTATGACCTTCTAAAGTTTTTTAAAAAGTTGAAAATAATTCATTTATTTAAGGTGAAAAAAAGCTTCATCTTCCTGTCATTTGTGATAATGAGCCTAACCAGTTCGGCATTCAGCTTGAAAAAAAAAGCCTTTGACTCGCCAATCTTACACATCATCAGCCTTTTGTTTTGTTTGCGTACAAATTCTTTCGTAGTTTTTAAGATTTTCTTGATTTCATTCATTATTTATTTTTGAAATTGAACAATCTCCAACTTTCGTTTTGAACACCTTCTTTCTTAATACTTGCTCATTGTTATTGCAATAATCCGCTACAAACATGCTTGTAAAATCTGAAATGCTTGCACGAAACATTAATCGACAATTTTGTTTGACATTGAGTCAACAAGTTGGACGTAACTTGATAAGTACAATGACGAGAAAAAACTGACAACTTTTTCTCACCTAGAAGGTAGAAGAGAGAACTACAGTGGTAATAAATAGTAAAGTTATAAGTAGTATAATAAGTAGTAGTAAGTTCCACATTACCCCACCCCACCCCATCAACTTCTCAACTTCCCAACCCCGACTAATAGTGCGATTTGAGTCGGTCGACCAGGGAGACTCGTGAAGTGTACTACACAAGTTATTTTTAGTTTCTAGTAGTCACTCGTAAACAAATATTGTCGTGCAAGTAACAGTGTAAAAAATGGTTTGTTTGAAAAACTAGACAGGTTTTTATGTCCTTCTTGCAAATGGATGCGAAATGACACTACTAAATATTAATACTATCCTGTACTTAGTTTCACCACCGCTGCTCTCCACAATTATACTTAGGGTCTGCATTGTGTATTTCCTACTGAAGAGTGGGGGTTGGCAGGTGAAAGCCAGGACTTAGACTTTTAAAAGCAGGCAGGTAGACCTGCCACACTCGGAAGATTTGTGTAATATAATCTTACTTACTATTACTACTACTCGCTTTTATCTCCATCATTTGGCCTTGTGTCAAACTAAGCATACTAAAAACAAAGAGATGACTAATCTGGCGGAATATGGCTTGGTCAACAAACTTCTCCCACAGGTCAGAGTTTGATCCTACCTGGGTGCCCCACTCATTTAAACAAAGCTTAAGAAATAACTACTAAACTCAAAGTGTCTAACCTTGAAATAGTGATTAACATATTCTTCTCACTTTACTTCAGAGTAACCCATGCTTATAACCTTGTGCCATACTAAGCTAAAATTAAGTTATATTGAATGCCCCCATTCTCTCTCTCTCTCTCTCTCTCTCTCTCTCTCTCTCTCTCTCTCTCTCTCAGGACATATTTTTCTGACAAGATTTCTCAAATATTCAGGCCAATAGATGTAGTTGGATAAAAAAATACTGTGTAATGAAAAAACAGCTTCTACTTGAATATGAGTATCCATCAAAAATAACAAACAAAATAAATTAAAAAAAAACAATATATCAGATTTAATCCATTTCCTGTATATATATATGTGTGTGTGTGTGTGTTTTTGTGTGTGTGTACACACATCTACACTTCAGAAGATTGTAAGATTGAAAATATTTTCAGAACTCCTTTCTGAAAATAAAATCAGTCCGAAGAAAAGTGTATGTAAACTTAATGAAACTCAAACAACAGATAAGTGAACATTTAATTTTTTATTCATTATTATTAATGCACTCTATCTCTTGATATTGAGCACTTGGATTACAAAGACTACTTGCCTTAAAATCAACGTCATCCAGAAATAATCTAGTCATTCAATTTTTTTTTTTTTTTTACACAATCCACTCTTTTTTTATTATTATTATATATATATATATAAATTTTATATTTGTATTAATCATATATATATATATATATATATATATATATATATATATATATATATATATATATATGATTAATACAAATATAAAATTTTGTCACTTATCACTGCAACTCCAGAATTTTGTAGATTGTAATTGTTCGGACCACTCAGCCGATTTATGATGCACTTTTTATTGGTGTAAATTTTTTTTTTTTTTTTTTTTTTTTTGTGTGTGCACGCATCTGTACATATGTGTACATACATATGTGTAGAATGTTATGGTTATTTCTTCTTTTCATAATTTTCTTGTCTCCTTACTCTCTTTCAATATTATTTTTCCTTCTTTTCTCTCTTTTGGCTCGTCGTGTGTTTGTGTGTGTTTATCCCAACATACAGAATGTGTGCCTAGTAGTAGCATATTTACCACCAAGAGTTTGAAAGATGATTTTTTTTTTTCAAAGCATGAAAACTAACCATTTC